GTCGCAGTGTATCTATGCGTGGAGTTTTTAGCTGTAATGTTTACCTTACACCCCATGTTATGCTCTAAAGAGGTAATTGGATTATTATTGAAAATAATAGATAGATTATTTGCATGCATATGCAATAATTTACTACACTAGGATAATGAAAACAGAGTAAAAGAGAATTCCGTAATGCTGCCAAATTTCGTGCCATAAATTCAAAATATAATTTAGCACAACGGAAAACTCAGTTGCAGCCGATGCTTGGAATAATTGTATCAGAATTCGGCTTGCAATTTGATTTCGTTCATTTGATTGATAATGAAACAATTCTGAATTAAAATGGCTTACCTGCAGAATGCTCAGGATGAAGCTGGGTCATAATTAGTTTGTCTAACGAATGAAAAATTTTCACAAGAAAATTGATGAAAATTTCGAATTGGGTTCTTTAAAAATGAGAGAGTGTAAGAATGAACTCTTGCATTTTCCGAACCAGTTGTTCGTCGCGCGGATGATCTGTCTGTGTCCGGCATTTGAATGTAATCGAACTCAATCTGCGGACCAGCACATTGGCGAGTCCGGAAAACGTATTAACATTGCCCTACTAAAGGCAGCATGTTTCATACGGAGCTAAATTGATGCTCTTTCTTGCTCTCCAGCGCCTGCATCTTTATATGAATGTTAATAATTAACGTCAGATATCAATTTATTAATGTTTATGACTTTGTTAGTAGCTTTACCTCTCCGTAAAAATATGGAGAAAATTAATTGAAAAAAAAACAAGAGTCAATGCAACCGAGTTTCTCAGTTTTAACTGCGCAACGTAAATTAAACCTCAACGTCACAATCTAAATTCGGGCAAAAGTTGTAATAAAGTAAGTACACATTTATTAGGTGAGCGGTAATGGGCTAATGAAGGAACGGCGTATGAAGAAGATGCGTTTTTGTACCAGCTCTCATGCAGCGAGTGTCGTATGCAAATGTCAGACACGATTATTCAGCGACTGGGCGATTTGTAATTAACGGCTGACTGCTGTTATTAATGGCTTGGTAGAGTAGGCTGAGCGCACTCAATTGACCTCAGACCATATCGGTCTCAATGAAGACCGGCGAGCTTATGGGTCTCGCACGGCAGCGGACGCAACAATTATTCGGTGAAGACCGCGGTCATCTCTAATCCTGACTTCTTGTAGGTGATAGACTGGATTTCAGGATTTAAGAAGGAAGATTGTGTATAGCGGGGGGAATTTAATATATTGCAGAAATTTCTAGTACGGTTCACCTGCAAGGCAGCAAAGATGCGGACTTCTCTGTATCATGGATCTGAAGTTCTGGCAGTACTCGTTCCTTAATTATTTATTATTTCTAATAAGGATTTTTTTTCGAAAAGGATTATTTCTCAATACTCGTTAGAAGCATTCGAAATATTTCTAACTAAGAAGTTTCCGTAGGCAGCAAATGATGTTATGTGTGAAGAAAAATGTAATACCGAATTCATTAAGCAAAACTTTTTAATAAGCGAATCTGACTATGCAGTGTGGAACTGACGTGACGAACACTCCACGATTACTCAACCATGAAAACTTTTGAAAAATCTGAGTTATAGAGAAGATTGTCTTTCAACACACGTGAGGTCGACGTATTTGAGGAAAAACCTGCGAGAGTATGAATAATTAACCGTTAGAAAATGCCTTAAAACAAAATAATATTCTTATCGTGTTAATGACAAAACATGAGAAATTTTCTTCGAGAAAGTCTAAAGAACGATCATTTTTTGACTTTTCACTGCCGAAAATCAATCCCCATGTTGCAAATTACCGGCTAAATATTTATTCCCCATAGCACGAAGCGCCGCTAACAAATTATCCCCCATAGTCCGAGTCATCATGCACCAGAAATATTAAATAACTCTTGATGAAAATTTCACAGTAACATCGATCTCAGAGCACTTATGAGGTGTCGGGGCACCAAACCTCAGCCGCGGCATCGCCTCTCTTGATTCAATAGCAATCACTAAGTTCAATTTTGAGCGTCATTTTCGTGACAATATCTTATAAACACGAAGCTGCTATCTATCAACAAAAAAATTCGTTTCTTTTCTTGTGTGCTTGATCAGCTTCATGGAGACGAAACCGATTATTGTAATATTTAATTAAAGACAAACCCTATAAAGCATTTCTTGATTCAACAAGTTCAACTTTCTCACTCTTTGTTAAAATTCTGGGCATTGTTTACCAGCTTGATGAAATGGAGAGAGAAATTGTGGAAATAAATCGTGACGCAGCCAAGTATTAATTTGTTCTGATTATATTTTCAACTCGAAAATAAACCTCATGAAACAAATTTTGCCGTGACTGTCCCGTTTGTATAAGTCTCTCCATGCAAGTAAACATAGACACAAATAAATCTAATGCTATTTTACTTATTTTCTATAGAGTTCACTGACTGCGATAAACTCTCGTCAGCTGCAACTATCGGTACATCAATTCAGTGCTCCATCTTAGTCGGAATCCAATCTGTTTTTTAATCAAGATACGTCGATCCGTCACTGATGAGATCCAATTAATCAGAGAACTTGGTTTGGATGAGCTTGAAGTTTTCTGTGCCTGCAGGACAATTGACCAAAGAATGAATATCGCACCTACTCACAAAAGAGCCCAGTAATTGATTCGCAACGTTCGAGCCCAGTCAAGTTATGGAATGTCCCGAGGCTGCTCCGATCCCCTAGTCCAGGCAAGATCTAGAATAAAATTAGCAACTAAAACAGGTGAGTGAACATGGCAATTCTGGTAAAAGGTTAGTGGCTGCCAAAAAGATAAATGGCCGTTTATTTATATTCCAATTATATCATGTTGAATTTTTTTTTCTTACGAGCGAAACCGAAAAGTTTGAGTTCAAAATGTTATCATACGAAGAGATTTTACATTTTAAATTAGCCTGAAAATTTTCTCGCTGGTTTAATCAATCGAAATATTTTGGTCTAGAATGCTATGAAGATTCTCCTGGATCCGTTTCCTAAATGCGTATTCCATCCACCGAATTCATTCATATATTTAAGGAGGTCACGAGTTTCTCACGGCTATCCGAGGAAGTTGGGTTGCGTTGAAACGTGTCCCGTGAGTTGAACTTTACGAAGCTTTCGTATCGCAACTTCATCGAAATCGTTTCAAAAGGAATGCGTTCATCTCGCCTGTAGCGCGCGATAGCATTAGCATATTCAATGACCGCGTCGAACATGGCGTTCGATTTTTGTATGGACCACCGCGCTGGCGCTGCTTGCATCACAATATGTCCCACCAGGCAGAAAAAGATAACTCTCTTTATGATAGATAGACATTACTTGCTTTATTTGGTAAAATTTTGAGAACCCTGGCAGTAGTCCTTGTTTTGTATAAAGCTGAGCCACATCTGCCAAATGGAGTGCATAGAAAACACGTGCATCACTCAATAAAAAATTGTACCGCGGAGTAAAGTCAATGAGCAAGAGAATACAAGATAGAAGAGACAAAGACAGTAAATGAGCCTGAGAAGACGATGGTCTGGTCTTCACAAGACGCGGTGATGTACTCACGCGTGTCGCAAGCTGGGACGACGCCGGCACGGAACGCGTCTTCAAAAGCGGCGCAATGAACGCAACATCGGCACCGGCCGCAAATAAACCTGGCTTGATAATTCTCCCTCCCTTGCACTCCATGCCGTCCCTTGTTGTTCTCAATGCAAACGCATCGAGTATTCATCCGAGAATGGATGTCCTTGCCGATTTGTTCATGTGAACAAGAGCATGTCGGCCACTTACCACCAAGTGCTTCATAAAAGATCATGAAGGGTAGGTGGGCATTTTACGGGCACAATGGCTACACTCACCCCAGCGATCGTTGATTTAACGTAAACAGACAATTTAGGAGCTCCGCATTCTGCAATACAAAGGCAGCACAGCGCACCTCCCTGACCTTTCACGAGCACACAGCACTTTTTTATTCACGACTATGAGACGAAACAAAGCCTTGATATGAATTTCCTAAAGTGTTCGAGCGTTGCATCGGAATCGTAATCTTTGAACTATGAAATTTTCGTACCAGTATTAAATTTCAAAATTCTCAAATGAAAATGAATGAATTCGAACTAAATTATGACTACAGGATCTCCAGGCAAAGTTATTCATCGTTAATAATGTACAATCTGATCAAAAGGCGCGAACTTTTCTGCTCTAAACTCACCGAAATCACAAGCTAAGCGAGCGGCCGCAGCAGAACAAGAAAGCTCAGGCTGCTCGTGATACTTGGACTGATAAGATTGCTTCCGCTGCCATCAATAAATAAGTCCACGGTCGGTTTGACCTCGCATTTTGTCTACAATACGCCAGCTGCTATCTTTAGTCAAAAGAAGGAAAATAAAGAACGGTATCAGCGGTACAGAATTCCTTAAACGTGGCTGGCTCGAAAAATCTCCTCCATCTTGCAGATTGTCATCGCGGCCTGGCCAAAACCAAACGGTTGCGGCGACTGCAGAACAAAGGCGTTAATGAATCGGATGCTGATTATCCTGCCAACATGGGGACCACGGACAGCAGGGACAGGGATACGGTAGGGTTTTGTTGCGAACACCGAAACAGTGGATTAAATTTTAATGATATTTGTGATTTGTCGCAGTAAGTTGAGCTCGTTTCTTAAAAGATTATTAACTTTCGGTAAGTTTTTTTTCTTGAATTAAGTTGATACGGCAGCCCAGGAGAAATTTCGTTGCCATAATTTAAAATAGGTCGGAAAAATCTCCCAATTAGTGCTACTTCTTGTGCGCTAAAATATACGTGTTAATACCCATATTCAAAGTTATATTTCTTCCAACTTTTTATGTAATGCAGTGATGACAGGCTAGCCATTGTGCTTTACTAAAAAAAATTAAACTTTACCTTATTCTTTACCCGATCATTCAGATACTGTTAGTGGAAAATGAAGTCAAGTGAGATTATAAAATAGTAACCGATATGGCAGTGGTCCAAATTGGAATAAAACAACAAAAACGTTCGAAACTTTTTTCTTTTGCAATGTATAAAAGGCAATCGATGTCCAGCACCAACATCGGCGATTTCTCATCACGAAAATGTTCACGATATTTACACAAGTGAAACTCAAGTGGCTAATATCATTTGTAGTAAGACTGATAACTGCAAATTTTAATGACACGACCAAACCAAAAGCAGGAAAGGAAATGACCGTGGAGTTAGAGACTAGCATTTGCCCAACTCAGCGAATACAGAGTAAATTTTTGACCATAGATGGCATTAATTAAGACCCATTTTTACCAACTGTACCAGCAGCTTTTCTATATTCAGATCATACATGCTATTCATAAAACTTTTGATCATAAGATTCTTTTCTAGCGTTTGTAATTAATTCCCATAAGATGAAACTTTGATATAAAACAGGTGGAACAGGGAACTTCAAAAAACAAAGCTATTGCACAGTACCTTTGAAAAAAGCCAAAAATTAAGTTAGAATCCAATATAGTTAGAAATTAATTAATGTTTTTTAAACAACAAATGAATTCCATGTCACTAAACCGGGCCCAGTTCACTCATTGATTCATCGTTCTAAACGCGACTGAAATTCGCTGTTCGTGCAAGCAATTCAAAAAGAAAAAAGAAAATACGAAAAGAAGAAAATACGAAACAAGTCATAGATGGAAGAAACAAGTCATAGGTCGAAGGAACAAGTCATAGAGCGAAGAAACTAGTCATAGATCAAAGAATAAAATCATAGATCAAAGGAAGAGTCGTAGATCGAAAATACAAGTCTTTGGTCAAAGTACGAAGATTTCGATGAAAGAAACAAGTCTGTGGTCGAAGAAGGATCACATTCAAGGAACAAGTCTCATGTTGAACGAGCTCTCAGTGCAGTTGATATTCCTTGTTCTAACATCAACAGCTGTTCACGAGTCAACAACAGAACATTCCTCCTCCTCGTGAACAACATGAACGCGGTCACACTTGTAAGACTCACAACAGACACGAATGCTCGTTGCTAAATACAAATATACACGTGAGGTCATCTCAGGAAAACCCGCAGATTTTTGATAACGCAATACATATGTACACGTATCACTCCCCTGACTATTTTGTGTAATTCTAACCAATAAAATCCTACATTGTACAGAACATTCAATGGAGTAGCTACTTGAATTCAAATTGGAAAGTAAAGAAGAACATGAACACCATCAGTATCGAGGCTGCGATGATGCATGCAAGAAACGCACCAGCAGTTATAGCTTATATAGCTTATATAGCTTAAGTTCATTGGCATTGTTCTATCTTCATGAGCATCCAGTTCTAGGAACAGTTTTTGGTTGAACAAATAAAAAGTTATTCCTTTTAAAGTTACAAGGCAACTAATTTTGAAGGTTGAAGCATTTTTTGAATCCAAAAACACAATGTAGTTATTATTATTATGTTATTATTACATATTATCCCAGCTTCGTCGTGAAATCTCAGCAGTATTATTTACGAATTCAAGCCCTACTTGCGGTACAAAAAAACTGAAAGACCAAAGCCTGTTAATAATAGGAAATACCATCAGCAATACAACACCTGGCTCATTTATAGAGAGAAATGCTTTAGAGACATCCTGCTCAACGTCTTACAAAAGAACTGATAAATGGATGAAATAAGGCGAAGCGTAAATAAAGAACAAGAAATACCAACACTACTTTCCACTTGAAAACCGCCGTTGCAGTCAACTCGTCGTCTGTCTGGAGGGAGACTCTGACATAGGCAAGTTTCTATGAAAGCAGTAGCCACCATTTACGCTATCCGAAGTGAACGAACCAAAAGTTTGCTCCGAAGATATTAGCAGACGCCACGTCCTCGACAAATCTCGCTCGAGGTATAGTATCACATATTAGAAACGCACTATTAGGCTCATTAAATAAATTATGATTGTGAAAGGATAAGATCAATAGTGTAGCAGTTCACGAAGGGAATGTGTTCACAACAAACAAGCGTAGCACACCCCCTCCAAGTGTACATTGAATAAGTACGCATCCTCGTGTGCTTCATCATGAGCTAAGTGGATGAAAATAAATACATACACGAGTATTCATTTCAGCTAATTACAAACACTCAGCCTTAACATTGTATTTAAATGAATCTAAAGTAACAAAAGCAACAAGGGATAACGTGATGATTTACTTCACGCCAATGGGAGATGCAAATGGCCAAGCTTCCTGCTGATAACAAATATTTTATCCTTACCGGCCAGTGCACACGCTACCAAAGTTAATACTAACGAAAAGAGTTCGCAAACAAGTCTCATGCAGAAATACTAAACTGCCAGATACACCATAACCTTTATTTATATTTTACATCGAAAAATTCCCAAACCTTCCTAGAGCTATCCATAAATAACTTCATTTGCTATTTAACATCACAGACTGGAAGCTTTGCTTCAGCTCCCAATGAACTTCCGAGGCAGAATTATACAAAAATTTTTTCACTGACACGCACAGGGCAAGTGGATAAGAAGCGTCAAAAAATTTTCAGAACCACACACGTTCAAACTCTGTTGATAACGCTTCAACCTAAGTGCGGGTCAAAATGCGCATAATGACGAGCTTTCTGACATATTTAGTGACTTTTTTTTTACTTGACTGGTTGGTGAGCTTCGAATATCAAGTTTGAATATCATGAACAGATTATTAAAGTCTTATCTTATCTTATTCTCATCTTCGTGTTGAGTTGGGATCGCTACGTGGCGCGTATAATTAAGAATGGGACGACGAGATTTGGGAGCTCAAAGGATAAATGACCTCAAGCCATGTCCCAAGCGAAGATACAAGCAGGGCTCGATACGACGAGAAATCCTGTGTGTCTGTGTGGGGTTAGTATAAAAAAAATGCTTGAATGGAAAAAGTTCGTAGTGGACGGGCCTTACAGTGCAGGAATACGGTACTTTTCAGGACATACATCGTCTTTTGGTGGTCTGTTGAGATGCCTCGTCCCCGCTGCTGTTATCGTCCTCGTCGGAGCTCAGGCGCTGGCGCCGGCCGCTGTGCCCTCTGGCGTCGTAAGACTCAAATTCTAAGGAGGAATCACTCGCCCCATGCCAGTCGCTGGGCATGACCAAGTCTTCGGAGGCGTTTGAAGTAGAGGCGGAACCGAGGTGCTGATCTTCGTGCTGCCGGAAACTTTTTCTGGCGTTACCGAGCGCGTTGTGATTGTTATTAACGCCGTTAGTGTTCACGGAGGGATGGTGGTTACGAGCGGGAGGCTGGGCAGGGGGTCGGGTTGAAGCGATGCCAGGAGGCGGTGGCATGAGTAAATGGTCGGGCTTGCGGTAGCCGTGTTGTGCGATGTAATCCAGCAGGTATTGCTCGGTCACAGGCTGCATGATCGTCTTCACCACAGCTGAGAGAGAGAGTCATGGGTGAGCAGGGTAGCTTAGAGTTGTTCTTTTGTTAATCAAACATCAAGATAATTTAACACGTGGAATGCGCTTCCCGAAACAACTGACTGCCGGCTGGGGCGATTCTGTTTGGGTTCCAATTGAACCTCCCAATTTAAAATTATAAATATACTTTCTTTGATATTCACTAACACTAGTTGAACACATTTTGTATCATTTCAAACCTTTATATTCTATTATCAGTGTGATAAAAATGACAATAATACTATCTCTTGTGGTTCAATTAATATTCCCTTATTTTAATAAACAACCCACCGATGGGTCGCATCGCATTCAACGTGTTAAATGACACTTGGATGACAATAACAACGACCAGATGAGAGTACACCATTGAAACTCAGGAAGGATATGAAACTGTTTTGTTTGCTAATGAAAGACATTGTTCCATTTCAGAGGGCAACTAACGACTCTAGTTATTGAAAATATAAATTTGCAAGATATTCATCCTATCAATAAACACAACTGAAGAATGATTTCAACAATAATATATGTTATATATATGAATCATTAGTACGGATGACTGGCACACGGCAATTGAACGGACCTTCAGCAGTCTGGTAGCTGTTGGGGAAGGATTTATCTGTGCGCTCTCTCATGAAGACCCACTCTCGCTTCTCGTTGACGCTGCACTCGATGATCTTGTTGTCGTAGTTCTTCAAGTTTTTAATTTTAATCTCACCAAAAGGCGCATCCAAACCACCCACGAACAGCAGACCAACTTTCGAAGTCAACAACCTGAACAAAAATTGAATTTTTTGGCAATGTACAGTATACTGGTAAAATACAGTATATAGGTAGCATTTGTAACAGTCCTAGGTACAAGAATATTTCTATGTAAACCTGTTCGTTGCAAAACTTGCAATTGGCAACGAATAACAAAATGTCGTAAACATCAATTGCAAAAATTTTATTCAAATATATAGGTACTTTTAATTAGCTGCATTACATGCAGTTTCATTTCACGGTAAAATCAAACTGTATCTATTAGCATATATATCAAGGAACATGTTATCAGTTTCTATAATATTGATAACATGATACTGAAAATCCTTCCCAGAAAATCGAGCACTGATACGAGCTGGCCTCATGAGCAGCAGCCATGCTCGTGGCACGAGGCACGAACTGGCCTCATGAGCAGCAGCCATGCTCGTGGCACGAGGCACGAACTGGCCTCATGAGCAGCAGCCATGCTCGTGGCACGAGCTGGCCTAATGAGCAGCAGCCATGCTCGTAGCACGGACACGAGACGCGTTCTCACCCCTCGCCGCCCCGCGTGACGATCTTAAGCTTGAAGTCAACGGAATTGTGGGAGGGCGGCTTCCATTTGAGCACCGCGTCGCACCGTCCGCACATGTAGGGCTGCAATCAAATAACTGATCAAACCATGTGATTAAATAATATCTGATCAAATAACTGTACATCAGATCAAACCATGTGACGTGTCAAAGGTGAGGTAATAACAGAACTGTCTCGTGAAAAGCGAAACTAAGTCAAATACATTCAGAAATTGGGACTGAATACGTTATGCGTGGGACTCATGACAAGGTAGGTAGTTATAGTTAAAAAACAAATATTATAGTTTCAAGTTGATTACCAGGATACCAGATGAAATACTCAAAGATTCAGGTAAGTAAATTTGCAGAAGTTAATACAAAAGCATTTTTCAACAGCCAAATTTCAAGTACACGTGAGTGCGTTAAGAAGAAATATCATATGGCAGTTAATGGAACTGAGCTCATACACGTTATCCCAATGAAAAATTTAATTAAATCAAGAGCACTACTTAACAGATGTGACTTGAAAAACCAACTAGCAACTAAAAATATAACGAACAGATAACAACAATAAACAGACGCGATAGAAACATAATACAAGATAAGGGAAGGAGATCTTAAAGCTTCACACACCAGCTGGTCAGGTTGGAATATTAGGCCGTCAGGTTCATGCAGAAGTTTCTTGGTGAAGCTGTCGCTAAGAAGCTTCTTAGTGTTGCACTCGCTCGCCTCCCAAAAGTCTTTACGCCGCACACTGAAGGGCTCCCGCGCCTTGTTGATCTTGCCTGTGGTGATTGCGAAGTTGCGCGGCATGATGATGTCCGTCTGAGATAATGGAACTCGTCATTACAAGACCTACCTACAAGGAATCTTAATCGAAGTGTGTGGAGGCAAACGCAAAAATATGTTCAGCTAAACATTAAGCTATGAAAGGCTAATAAAAACCAGTCATGAATCTAAGAACAACTTGTGACACAAATGCATTTGGATTCAGTAAAGTCCTTTAAACGCTCGAAGCTAGAAATGCTGCAGAAGCTCAGAGAGAAGCCTCTGGTCAAGCTCAAAAGTGCAATAAAAACAGATTTCTGTTTAATTTCAAAGAAGTGCTAGTGGTCAATAATTTAATATTGTTTTAAAACAAGCGTTAATTGTCACAAATTTCTTCATCATTAAACAGATCAGAGTCACTTGCTATGAACTAATCATGTTGATCACATTACAAGGAATGCATTACGTTGATTCTCTCCCATCGCAGCCAGAAGGTGTCCTCTCTGATGTCTCTGCCACGGATCCTCAGCGCGTCGTAGATCAGGTATCGCGGATACCGCTTCTTGGTACCGGGCTCCACGTCTATCACAAGTTCCTGAACAACATTACAGTCTTTAACTCGTCATAGTCATTGTTTGTTCCAATACCTATGGGACGTACTACCATGAGAAAGGACCATGATACATGAGCGTTAACCATGAGGAAGGGGCCATGATACATGAGTGTTAACCATGTGAGAGGACCATGATACATGAGTGTTATCCATGTGAGTGGACCATGATACATGAGCGTTAACCATGTGAGCGGACCATGATACACGTGAGTTAACAGTGCTATCTCCGCACTGCCTCATGTGCACGTATCAACGCCACTGTACATTTCAACATCAATGTAGTCATATTGTAAAAATCCTGAATTATTCTTCATTAAACATACCACAATTAAAAATTCATTGTATGAGAAGCCAAAGCTATGTAAACAAGTAAACAAATACTATATGCGGTACTGAAGTTTGAACTCATTGAACTCTATACAGTATGTGTATAACCCGTAACGATTTAAATGAATTTCTACGATGACGGGTGGGAATAAATAGATACTGACGCCGTCTATGAGCGTGTCTTTGAGGTTGACGTTGAGATCGTCCTTGTCTTTGAAGGTGATGTCCGGGGCGTGGAAGATGCTGTTGTCACGGTCAGACAAGTAGATCTCTCCGCCACCGTCTGTAAACAAAGCATTTGTTGTGTTAATGCATCGTACAAGTTTATTGCTATCGAAAAAAAGTACGGTACCGCATTACCTACGAATAACGAGGCGAGACTTGCGAGAAAAACAGTTATTAAACCCTGATTTATACACATGTACTCACTAATAATTATTTATATACATCATTTATTAGCTCTAAAATATATTAAAGCTCCCAAATTTGGTTATATGCTTTGAAGGACACCATCAAACTGACCAATGAGCATCATGTATCTTGTGCCGTCAGCCTTCCAGGAGACATAATATGGATGGTCCTTCAGCAAGGAGATATTATCGCGCGACATGCTCACTGGCTGGCAGCCTGGGAACCCTGACCTGTAAACAATAGACAACTTTAACTACATAATATTTGAGACAAATTCAAGAGAGACGTTGTTCTATAGATTGAATTTAATTTTTAACTTCACAACGGGAGTTGAATGATCAAGATCGCGAGATCGGGGGACAAGGTGATCGGGTGAGATATAAAATCTTAAGGATTACGTATCTATCTTTGGTAATGCCACACGAAGCTCTCATTATAATTCAGGATTTATCAAATGAAGGACAAGCTGATAGGGACGATTGATAATGTCAGTTTAACACGTTGACTACGAAGTGGTACATATGCGTACCAGGAAATGTATTTCTCCAGGACGTACGGTAGTGGTACATAATTAAGGTTGCCTAAAATCGGCCAAATCCGAGAACAAAAAAGGCCAAAAAAAAAGGGCCATAACTCATAATATACTAGTTTATTTGTAGCTTCTGCTATAAAAATTCCATTCATTTTCTTTTTGCAGTATTTAAAATTTAATTAGGAAGTACCCCAATCATAAATTTTAGCCGGCCAACGCAATTGAGAAAAATAAATCGCGGAATTTGTCCAGAAAAAATGATCGTCTGGCAAAACTGTTTAAAAACAGTACTAAAAATGAAATAATAGTACAAGATGAAGCAATCGTAGTCAACGTGTTAAGGTTAGAAATATGCAGGACGTAAAACAGCAAGTAGTTGCGCTGGAAAACATCTAGTAATAAAGCAAAAAAGTTGTTATTTTGACAATGAAATGTCATTGCCGAGCTTATTTGGAGCTGCCAAGAGATTTTCTGCACCGAATATTCAGTAGTTAGTTATGCAAATGGAAGTGCAGACAAAGACAGTCACACCACACCAATATAACTGAGTAGGCACTTGAACCAACAGGATACTCACGACCTGAAGCCACACATGTCCTGGATCCTGCGCCGCACTCTGCTCAGCACCTCAGGTTGCGTCACAGGACGCACGTTGTCGACGCCCTCCATGAAGGTGGGGTTGCTTTTGTTCCTCTCGTGGCCGTTGCGCTTGCCGCCCCTGACTCCGCTAGAGCCGCTCTCAGTGTCGGAGTCGTCGCACTCTGAAATAATCAGGCAATTCAGTGACGCTTGGGTAGGAGCAAAAAATTCTGGGACATTCACTAGTTCCTAGGTTTATTAGGGTTTGTTTCTGTTTGCTCTATTCAAACCATAAATGAAACTGATGTGCACTAGTGAACAATAAGCAAGATTTTGGGAGAAATAAGAACAAATATGACAAGTTACAAGGCAGAACGCTGGAAAAGCGTTAGTATAAGTAAAACAAAATCAACAAAATAATTTTAAACATTAATTTTTAGTAGGTACAGAAGATGACAGCTCACACTAAAATCTTCCCACTGTTCAAGATTAAACTTTTTCTCCCCATTACCTACCATATCATCTGTCCGAGCGTGAGAATCAGTGTCTTCAGTGAGAATTTGAAAAGAATGTATTAAGTAAAATGTCTTAATGATTTTTGGTTCGAATTATTGTCCATATTATATAATAAGGAGGGGTGAAAGAGTGGTAACTCTAATAATAATTATTTAAGATAGGCACAGAGAGGAATTATTTCAGGAATAAATCAGGTAGCTGTCTGGATGCTATCGCAAGTGGACAAGCAAGTGTCAGAGCCATCAGAAGTGGATGCGTATAGAGGCTGGGCTGTGACTGCAGCAGATAGAGTTTGGTTCGCGACTGCCTCACGAGATGTTTGAGGATCTTATATAGGCTTGCTACAATGACGTCACGTGAGGTGACGCGAGAAATGCTACTGAAGGTATGGGTGGTGACATAAGACAACCTAGCACACCAGGGTAAGCTAGGAGCTGAAGTACAGGCCGTTGGAAAGACAGTGATTGGTAATATTCAGCCAATGTTGGTCTGGTGCTAACAGGACATCATCTCATACGTCTTGAAATTGAATGGCTGTAAATGACAATAAGATGATCTACATTCACCACAGAGGAGTATAGAAGGGAGAGATAAGGTTGTGCTGTCAGCAACCAGGAGTATAAAAGGTAGAGCTAAATGTTGCATTCTCAAGCTGTCTATTGACAAGTTACAAGGCAGAACGCTGGAAAAGCGTTGGTATAAGTAAAACAAAATCAAGAAAATAATTTAAAACATTAGTTTTTAGTACAGAAGATGACAGCTCACAATAAAATCTTCCCATTGTTCAAGAAAAAAATATTTTCTCCCCCATTACCAGATCATCTGACCAAGCGTGAAAATCGGTCTGTTTTCAGTGACAATTGGATAAGAATTTATTAGGTAAAATTTCTCAATGATTTTTGGTTCGAATTATTGTCCATATAATATAATAAGGAGGAATGTAAGAGTGGTAACTCTAATTATAATTATTTAAGATAGGCACAGAGAGGAATTATTTCAGGAATAGATCAGGTAGCTGTATGGACGCTATCGCAAGTTGACAAGCAGGTGTCAGAGCCATCAGAAGTGGGTGCGTATAGAGGCTGGGCTGCGACTGCAGCAGATTGAGTTTGGTTTGCGACTGCTTCACGAGATGCTTGAGGATCTTATGTAGACTTGCTACAATGACGTCACGGGAGGTGACGCGGGTAATGCTACTGAAGGTATAAGTGGTGACATAAGACAGACAAGGAACAAGGGGATCGGACCACTAGAGGATGCACGGCAATCAATAGAATAAGCAACTGCTGGCAGGGTAAGCCAGGAGCTGAAGTACAGGCCGTTGGGAAGACTGTGATTAGTAGGTAATGTTCAGCCAACGTTAGTCTGATGCTAACAGGAAATACATCTCATACATCTTGAAATTGAATGAATGGAAATGACAATAAGGCAATCAATATTCCATCAGAGGAGTAGGTATAGAAGGGAGAGATAAAGTTGTGCTGTCAGACACCAGGAGCACCTATAGAAGGTACATAGAGCTAAAGGTTGCGCTTTCAAGCTGTCTTCGTGAGGGGTTCACATGTTGTACATGGACGATTGGTTTGAACAGTAAGACAGTGGCATCTTTAGTCATAGATGAAAATTCAACAACTCAGATGGTGCTTCCAGACGGTACGATGAGAGAGTTGAGCGTAATGTGACTACGCTTTGGTTCAACATTAGGCGCACTGCACTCTACATCAGCAATACGAGCAGGAATGGTTTGATCCATTCTTTTGCTGCGGCCGAGAGCCAGGATATTTTTAATGCAAGCAACAAGAGTCTACCCACCCAACCAGGCTTGGCGATCTAGTCTACCTGCCATATTATATTAAAAGTAAATTGTGTTTGTGAATGACGTTGATTTTTTTCAGCTGGGCAGTGACAACTACGTCGTCACTTCTGTGTGTAATTGTACAAAATATAGTTCAATTGGAGTTAGCTAAATACTGAACGAGTCTCAATAGTTCTCGGTAATTATAAAATGAGTTTTACAACTACGTCAGCACTTTTGTATGTAATTGTACAAAAGTTCAATTGGAGTCAGCCAAATACTGTGTGAGACCCAGTAGTTCTCGGCAATAATAAAATGAGTTTTACCTATTGAGTGCAAAAATTCACGTTACTACTGTGTCAAGAATTTCTCTGCAAGCCTTCCTCCCAAAGAATTGAATAAAGAGAAATTTTTATTGCACAAACAGATAAGCGATTAATACCAAATAATATTTGAAGAACAAACAGGCAACAAACATCAACACTATTATTGAAGCATATAAATCTGATCACGACACGTGATCTGGTGTAGTAGTGTCTTGCATCTGACCAATTGACCACAATTTCAAATACCGTGAAATGGGGTAACTTAGATCACTTTTTTTTATAAATGATGCCATTTTTTTACTAGCTAAATTAAACTTGAATTTAAACATGCAAAATACAGGTCTATATCTGTCTCTTATACACATCTAGATGTGTATAAGAGACAGGTATTAGGCCTTTAATGCCCATTGACAAAATTTTTCTATGTCAAATAGTTTTTGAGTTGTGGGGGTTTTTGTTAAAAAAACGAAAAGTGGTCTAAGTTACCCCGCCGGTCTAAGTTACCCCATTTTACGGTAGCTTCTGACTCACTTTTTAACTAATATTTCTGCTGGCACAATACTGAAAATATAAAAGAATCCATCTGACGAGCCTCATGACCAAAACATACTTAAAAACAGAAAAGAATATAAAATTCATGAGGTAAGCAGAGCTCTAAATGCCACTTTTTCATGCCAACTAACCAGTGTGCCAGGAAGGCAGCGCCGGAGCCACGGGAGGAGCATCATCTCCATCTCCGTACCACTGGAACAGCTGGTTGATGTAGTCTTGCTTGTAGATCCCAGGAGACCTGCAATGCAACAAACTTATGAGTAAACCTGCAGAGGTGATACTTCTCGAACAAGACCTTTATAGCGCTAATCTATATCAGAGTAAGGGTTAATATTACAGCATTCCTCCAGCAATATTACAATGTAATATAAAATAGTATTAAGGAGTACAAGGCAGCGTCTCAATTTAAATAAAATCACCAAAAAATTACTGATAGAAAAGATAGGTACCGGTACTGGTACGTATCTGGAGAAAGTACAAGATGCAATTGTAAAATTGTAAAAATATTAAGGCATTGTAATGACTGAGAAGTAAGGATCGGATCAAAACTGGAATTTAAATTTTTAATTGGTACCTACTGTACCTACATCAATTAATTCAGAAGTTGTAAACTTAGTAATTTTTCATAGTTTTAAACAAGAGTCAAATGGGACTTCTAAATTCCATGTAAAGAAGTGAGAGTTTGATAAGGTATTTTTTAATATGTGAGCTACATTATTAATGGGATAAGAGACAAAAGGCATGACTAGATTTGGAATAACAAGATTCAAAATTACACGGTAGTAGGTACACAATAAATATTTTATTGAAGATATATCATTACATTCCTTGTAATTAGAACTGCAAACATAGGTGATNTCCCATACCTCATTCCACATTGTCTCTGCTCCACTGGGGGACTGCCCCATAAAAGCCTCTGTTCAGTTGAGGTTCAGCCACCTTATCACACCACTCTTGGTAAATGGCATCTTACCCGCTGATGCATACGGAGAAGCCAAACAGGCTCTCCGTAGGGAGATCGCCTCCCGCATTGCAGCGACTGATGCAATAAATGCCATCTTCGCTGCTCCTCCACCACCGATTGCATCGGTTGAGGCCTCACTCCCGCGCCCCTACCGTTCGGCGCTATCCCACCTCCGCTCGGGATACTGCAGCTCCCTGGCGTCCTACTCTGCTAGGATCGGTCGCTCCCCTAGCTCCACCTGCCCGGAGTGCGGGGATCCCCTCCAATCGGTCCAGCACCTCTTTGCCTGCCCCGCCTTCCCCACGTCCCTCAGCATCTCCTCACTGTGGGACAACCCCGTGGAGGCAGCAGCATCCCTGGCTGGATTAATATTCGCCCACCTCCCCTTTTCCAGTGCCGGCCTCCCACCCACCTCCTGAGCCTTCCTCCCGGCGATGGCGAGCGTGACGGACGCAATAAACAACAACAACATACCTGCTCCTGGCAAACATTTGCACTGCAAGATCAATGCTGATGTCCTCTTGCTCCACGAGGTATGAACAGATCATGAAGCCTGTCCTGTTGAACCCGTGTGTGCAATGCACGGCTGTGCAGACCAAAAAATTCAATTTGAATCAATTAAGCAAGACAAAATGGCATGGATAATACAATATAGCTGGATGATTAATAATAAATGAAATGAAACAAAACCAAGATTGAATTGTTAAATCAAGTTAGTTTAGCATGAAATATAACTACTTCAATCAAGACTTAAATGAGCAAAATTCTAGAAACAAAACAATAAGCAACAGAATTAACTGGTAAGTGTAGGTACTGAACCATACCAATAGCTTTCAGAGGATATTTTGCTTTGAATGTTGAGCAGATCCTTATGAAGGTCTGAACAGATTCTTGTGACGGAGCTTCCCCATGACCACGGCAGCTGAGTTTCACATACCGACAATCATTGCTTTTGACGTCTTTGAAGTCATAGAAGCGATTTGTGTTTGTTAGATCAACCCAAAGCCCAATTTCAACCTGATGGTAAAATAAAAAGATGATCACACAATTGCATCTACAAAAATTTTTTAGTGGCAGATTCTTCTCACAAAATGTTTGTAACTATCATATTAAGAAATGCTTCAAAGAGCTGTACTTGACCACCTGGGCAAAGAAAATGAAGCTATTTTAATTGGAACATTAAAAATATTGTATCTTCAATGAAAAATAATATATTTGGCATCTCTTGACAATTTTGAGACAGAATCTTACCAGGGAGCAATTTAAAACCGACAAGACTATACAAGAACTAACTAAAGAGAGATATGTACATTTACAAACCTTGTGGCTTTTCATTGAGCCAATAAGCATGTTGGGTGAGAATCTGTTGGCAGGAGGAACTTGATCATCAAATTTAGCGCTGAGGGGAGTTTTGAAGGCAAGGAACAAGCCATGAATCAAGCCATCTGATTTACGAGGACATTCCAGCCATCGTTGTGGGATGGGCCCAGGGCCTGAGCCATTGCTTTGTGAATGGTTCATCTGGAAAATGAGAATTGCTTTTAACACGTTGACTAGTACCGTCAACCGGCGCTACTCGAGACGGTTTCGAATGCTTTTCATTCATAACTTCTTACCATGAAACATTTCATAAACAAGTTTAGGCCAGAGTTGGCAATTTTTTTGATTTTTTAAAAAAAATCAAAAAAATCAAAAATCAATGATTTTTTTTATTTTTTCATGATTTATTTGATTTTTTCAGCTTTTTTGTCTTTTTTGAGGTGTTATTTTTTCTGTTGCAATTAGCCAACTAACAATAACAGTATATGGATCATAATGGATGGCTAAAAAGGGCACTTATTGCCTCCAATAATGGCCAACAGACCAAGGTGGTGTTTACCACTTAGGGATTTTTGGGTAAACAATTATTGATAAGTCTATTCATTAGCTTTGTAAAGTTTGTATGGAGCAAGGTAATGAGCTCAATATTGACCATTTAACTGGCTTCAATATACAAAAACACTTCAGGAATGCAGATCTCCTAAACATTGAAGAGTCACATAACAGATACTTAGCTGATTGCACAGTGCACTGCAGTGACAGCACTATCAAT